AGATTTGAAAATCATGACTGATACAGAACTTTATAAGATATGCATAACTTAAAGAGGATAGGAGGAAGGTATGGTTGAACTGAAAACTCAATTTAAGAAGGTGACAAGGTCTGGAAAAGGCATTCTCTTAGACCAATAGCTTTTGCTAGCCATGGTGATAGCTACATCTGCATTCTCACTGTCTTCTGGACTTATAGGTTAACAGATAGCTAAGGGAAAACAAGACTGTTGTTAAGTAACCTATAGGGATTATTTCTTATAAGCAGAAGCATTTGGCAGCAAAGAAGGGTCATGGAGATGAGGAGTAGCTTGAGTGTCCCAGGTCTTAATATGGTGTTATCTTGGGACACCAGGGTGCTCATTAACAAGCCTAGGCAATGTAAGGCATTGATTTGAATTGTCAATGGACAAGTAAAGCTACAAGATACACAAGTTGTATTTCATGACCTGAAATGTATTGATTTTTCAGGCAAAGCAACTCGCATCTTGTTGTATTTCAGTGAATTTTGCAGTTAGTCAGATGTATTTCTGGCTGGCAAGGCACACCAACAATGCTGCAAGACAATCTCCAACTGAAAATGTTGAAGCATGATATGAAGATAACATTTATCCCTTGTAAGTTGCATCATTTTGCTACATACTCTATCCAAGGAAATATCATTCATCAGGATGCATGTAGCAGGTACCTATGTGTACTACCATTTAATTATGGTGATAGAGTGAAACAGGTAAGCCCAATAATGTTCAACTGGATAGCAAAAAAAAAACCTGGACAACTTCCTCAAGTTTCAATCAGGTTGTTGCTTGGAATGGATGGACTAAGGGAGAGGCAGTGGAGTGCCTTATGCTGAGTCCTATACCCAATGGCTTAGAGCACTTGGATGAATAGCAACTCATTGACTAAGACATAATTATCAACAGAGAACAGAGCAATCTAAAAGGTCAAATTCAAACCTCAAAGCTAAGAGCTTCCCAAGAGAATTTGACCACTTACATGTACAGTTTAAGCAAATTAAATGAGTATCATAAAGAGATACTCATTGACAAGTTTATAGAAGGGCTGTCAAGTGAACTTACAGACATTAAATAATTTTCAGGAACACTTAATAACTCAAAGAGGCAGTTTTTGTGGTGATGTGATAAACTTCAAAGCAGTCACATCAAACTGTGTGCTGGAACAAAGACAGAAACCATCAGCAGTTATAACTTCAGCTGTAGACTCAGCTCTAAGACAGCCTCTAGGTCTTTAGCAGCCTCCAAGGATCAGAAAAAGCATCAACCATCAGCCCCACCAACTCTAATGCACCAGATACCACCAGATGTTATACAGTAGTTTCCTATGAATCAGTAGAGCTTCCCATGCTGAGCTAGATGACATGATTATGCCACAAATACAACCAGAATGTAACTCCCAATGGTACCAGAAAAGGAGATACTACTTCAACTGTGGCTTACCTGGTCAGTTGAGGAATTGTCTATATCCTGTTGCACGGCACAAGGACCATTTAGACCAATGCTGCAACAAATGAAGGAAGGATGATGAAAAGTCACTGCTGCAGTAATCCAGCTATTTGAAACTATTGTAGTCTCAGTTTTATATGACCACTATCTTGGGTGAATGCAGCAGTCAGCTTGCACACATTATGGTGGCTGGGTATCATGTAGTATATGCTAATAACAATACAGGTAGATAAGCTTCACTTTATAGTGAATACTGGAGCAGCCACAAGTGGAATCAACCTTGCTTTACATCAGGCACTCCATGGATAGTCAGTCAGTTAGCACCATTTTCATCCTGGCAAATGGCAACAAAATAGACATGAGTAGAGAGATGAGTCTCCAACTTGGTCTTGGCAATGTCATGTACTGAATAAAGGTAAATGTCTATAACTTGGGTTCAGGTACTTGTATCTTAAAGATGGACTGCTGCAAAAGTTGCCAGCCAGGTTAACTGCAGTTCTAAAGTATAAACATACAATGCTGATCAGACTGGGTTCAATAACAGTAGGTGGCCTGCATGTTGTATGTAAATGATACCAATAAATGTACAAGCTGTGTTCCTTAGTGTTCTGCAAACTCAGTCTATTGTGTTGTAAATGTTTGCTATGATGATAGAACTAATACATGAAACATACTGTTTGCTGTCTGAAAAGTAGGCCACATTAGCTTAAACAGTAATCTCCTAGTGTAAGTGTTGTACCAATGCTATTCTGTATCTACCGACATTCAGCTGGAATGATCATTGACAAATTAACAGATCTAGAAGTGATGCAAATAAGCTGAGTAACTAGTGCCTGAAAATGAATGTGCAACTTCCAGAGCACACAAAGTTTGTATTTGAATATTGTACTAACAATCTGAACTCAATACAGAAACACAAACTCAGTGAATTGTTCAAATGTGTTTGTTCCACAGTTAGGTCAGCTAACAGTCACACATCGTCACAGATATAAATGATGACATGTATGAAATAAAACAACCTCCTAGCATGCTTCTCTGGAACACCAAGGATGTTGCCAGCACTGAAATAAAGTGGATATTGAAGGATGGGATAATACAACATTTGGAGAGTGCTTGTCAAAAAGAAGGAAAGAATGCCTAGGTTCTGTGATTTTACATGGATGAACATTGTACATGCACTGAAACTCTTCCTCAACCACAAACAAATGAATGTAAGGATATATTGGAAAGTACCTACTGGACCAGAATGTTAGATCTGGCATTTGGTTACTGGAAATGTAAACTGAATGATGAGAAGGCCTATATGACTTTCACGTCAGGCCAATAAACATGTTATATATATAGACACCTGCACTTTCAGGTGTGAATGAAGTGTTCACTGACCCTGTAAAAGTTAGAGATCCTGGATACAGATGAAAGTGAAAGTGGAATTGGAGCAGTTTTGTGACAGGTACATGACAGTACAGAATGTTAAAGTCAAAGATAAAATGAACATCTTTGGTTAATAAATATGATGTGGTGAAACACATTATTACTAGTAGTGAGTACTGAAAACCACTGAACAAAACTTCAACCCATATACATTAAGGAAACCACACAAACAATTACTGTTAAAACATCTTAATCATAAGAAGCTAGCATCAGTTCATGTTTATCACTTTAAGTAAAAAATAACTTCAACCACAATCCTTGCAACAATGTTTACAACAAGCTCACCAAAAACCATTTGAAAGCAAACAAACCAATAGGTAAATCCCACTTCTCCAAACAACAGATCTTTTAACTTCAATAACAGGAACAAATTTTTTTCCTGAAATTTTTAAATCCATATTTTCTCAGTGAACTATTAGTAAATATCGTGTAATGGCACTGTAAGACTAGCAAGAAGTACAAAATTTATATATGTAAAATAAATCTATTTTCACTCAAATAACTTTGTATGAAATGTAGATGAAGATCTGAATGTAAAAACATAAATAAACAAAATACACCTCGTCTCCTTGCCACTGTAACAAAAACTGACAAACAGAAATATGAAGTGATATATATATACCCTAGTGGACCTAATCTGAACTCTTTCAACATAGTCAATATCCTTTCTTATATAAATAGACCAAACTGTACAAAGTATTCCAAGAGAAGCCTAAATAATGATTTGTAGAGATTGTGAGAAATTAGGTTAGCATTATTTCTTCCTTTAGATGCAATGTTTTTGGCACATAATCATTACACATAAAACACACAACTTGTATTTATAATCACTTACAGGTTTCTTACATTTTTGGTAATCATCTTGTCTAAGATTAATCCACAGTGTATGATGTAACTCAGTAGTCACATGATACCGAATGTACAAGGTGTTTATTGTTCATTGATTTGTGATGCGGTTATGTTAATTATTATAAACATGTGATATCACTGTATTCTAAGCTGCAGTATATAAATAGTTAATTACTGAGTTAGGGAATAAGTGTTTCAGTAGTAGAGTTTTGTTAGTATTGCTTATATAGACATTACACATAAGTTTCAATCTACCAGTGTCTGAGCATAATGTGTAAAATGACTTAACATCTGTACTTCTGTCCAGTAGGGTGATTAAATTTGTCTTCATTCAGCATGTGAATGTCATTTGTCACGTGTTCATGAATTGTCCTTTGTAAGTTGTCTTTATATGTTAATAAACAGTTTTCAGAAATAAATTATGTGCCTTCATTGAGCCAGTCGAGGCTACTGTCAATGCCCTAGTTGCCATGTTATAGAATAAAATCATCAGAAGATTAGTACCTGTTTTCACTTATAATTACTGTGTCTTTAAATGCACCCTAAAATTATATTAGCATTATGACTAGCAATAGAGTAGTGGCTCAGTGGTTTGAGTAACTTATCCACTACTACAGTTTTTACCTACAAAAATTTGAGTGAATTTAATTTTCACTTTTCCTATTATCATTAGCAAGTCTAAAAATATTCTATTTTAAAAAGTTTAAAATCATTACCACAAACAATTGCTAATTGAGTAATTGAACTCAACTATTTTTATTATTAAATTTTTTTATTTTATGAATTATAAACTAGTGTGAAATAAAAAGGTTATATTAGTAAATAATAGCCTCAAGTTAACGTTTATTAATAACATTTTAGTTAGCACTTTCGACTAAAGTAAAGCTTAAGTTAATGAAACAAAGTGCTAATTTAATTAGTAATAAATTATTAGTAGTAGAACTAGTAGTACAAAGTCAAAAAATATTTTTTTAATAGCTGGTTATACCTCACATATACCATCTACTTTGAGTCAGACTACCGAATAATACTGCAATTAAATTAATTGTGTAATTATTACTAGTGTTAGTACTATTTAATATTATTACTAGTAGTAGAGAAGTAGTAATGGTAACGTTGCGTTAGTAATAGTATTACTATTAGTAGGGTCCTACAGTCGTATCGTAAAAAAAAGAAAAAAGTTTTCCTTAAGACGAAATAAAGCTTTTCAGAGCTCTACAATAAATTTTTTAAAAAGATGCTTAATTATAATTACTCACTCGTTCTTTAGCGCGTCCAGCATGTTTTTGAACTACTTTCGAAATTGAACCCCCTTTATCAGACATGCTGTATAATTAAACTAAGATACGCTCTCTGGCTAAACCTGTGTTCCTTTCCACGTTTACTTCGGTTTAGAACAAAGTCGCGCGATTAAACGCGAGGACAGTTGCGCGTGTTGCGATTAAAAGAGCTAAAAAGTTACATATGATTAATTGCATTTTTTTTAACTTTTATAATTTCAACACGTGAATCTTTCATTGTTGGATTACGAAGCAAGTTTAAGCGCTACTTTCTCAACCATGAGAGTGGCAAAAAGTTTCTCTCACACTCACAAGTTAATAAACATTAATTTTGTTTGTTTGTAATTAAGCACAAAGCTACACAATGGACTATCTGTGCTCTTCCCACCACAGGTACCGAAACCTACTTTCTAGGGGGTGTAAGTCTACAGACATACCGCTGTGCCACTGGAGTGTAATAAACATTAATATTAATTTCTGATTAGAACTAGTTTGCACATAGTGGCTCAGTGGTAATTATTAAGATTTATAATGCTTAAAACCGGGTTTTGATGCCCATGGTGGGTACAGCACAGATAGCCAATTGCGTGGCGTTGTGCTTAATAACAAACAAAATAAATGTACTTAGATCAAACTTAAACTGAACCCAATAATGAGTATAGCTAATTAAATATGCTGTTCTTAATTCTAACATGGCCAGGTGGTTAAGGCACTCGACTCGCAATCTGAGGGTGGCGGGTTCGAATCCCCGTCACACCAAACATGCTCGCCCTTTCAGCCGTGGGGGCGTTATAATGTGACGCTCAATCCCACTATTCGTTCGTAAAACAGTAGCCCCAAGAGTTGGCGGTGGGTGGTGATGACTAGCTGCCTTCCCTCTAGTCTTACACTGCTAAATTACGGACGGCTAGAGCAGATAGCCCTCGTGTAGCTTTGCGCGAAATTAAAAACAAAACAAACAAACTTAATTCTAAAAACTAAGAGTGCATAGTATTACGTCTCCGTTCGTTAATTAATTTTCCGTAAATTCTTTCCGACTAAACTTTAGCGACACAAGTCCTTTCTTAAATAAAACTGGTTTATTCTTTCCGAATACAACTTTACGATACACTTAATTTCAACAGTCGCTCTATAACAAACACTATAACTCATGTCTCACGAGGCCAACAATATTCTGTCCGCATATACTCAATTACTCATTACCTCCCCGTCGCTTCGTGGCCGGTCTTATAAATACAAGACTACACTATATCTAGAAAGATCACGAGATTTAAGGAAAAGACGTGAATGTTCGAGAATGACGTGGCGTGATACTAGTCACGTGACCTCGCTGACGCAACACTGCCCCCTCCTTAGTATTGTTCGTCCCGAACAATAGCCACATACAATAAACCAATAACAATTAACAATAACTTAATCAAATGTACAGAATTACAAACACAAAATTACAATTCAACAAAGTCTCTTAATTTTACGGGACGTATCTTCTTCCATACTGGTCTCCGTCTCATTGGCTTCTGCTTCATGTGGGGTTCATCTCTTTCATCAGTAAATGTCCTATCATCGGTAACAGCCACATCAGTGGTAGTAACTTCATCAAGAGCTTCATCGTTTCCCTTCTCAAAACTGAGTAGAGTTTCTTCTTTGACGTTGGCTTTTTCAGGTGACACGTCTTCAGCAGCGTCATTTGTTCTGTTGTCCACTTCGTCCCAACTGAAATGTTCTAGACCGTGATAACGCCAAAGCCTGTTGGCATGCACCACTTTTGGCTTACCTCGCCGACCACATTTTACCCGAAAAGTCACGTCTGAGAGACGATCCACTATGTCATATGGACCTTCCCATGGAGAAGACAACTTAGGAGACTTCCCTTTGGTCTTCCTGGGATTATAGAACCATACCTTGTCTCCTGGTACAAAGCCGACTTCAGTAGATCTATTATCATAAGTTAACTTCATCGAATCAGCAAACGTTTTCAAGTTTGAATGCACTTGATGGTGGATATCATCCATCCTTTCCGATAACACTTTCACAAACTCTGACATACTCTCAGGCAACTCTTCATAAGGTGGGCGTCCTGTTAACAGATCCACTGGCAACCGAGGTTCCCGACCAAACATCAAC